TGTCTGTCTCTGTCTGTCTCTGTGTGTCTCTGTCTGTCACTGTCTGTCTCTGTGTGTCTCTGTCTGTCTCTGTCTGTCTCTGTCTGTCTCTGTCTGTCTCTGTCTGTCTCTGTCTGTCTCTGTCTGTTTGCTTGCTTGCTTGCTTGCTTGCACGGCGTTTGGGGCCGGGCCCTAGGACCCCAACCCCTGCGCTCTCGCGCTACGCCAAGGTCTGCTGTCTTTCAGTCGGGGTGAAAGCTGCTTGGGCGTCGGCACTTCCAGCCCCGAGATTCCCCTGAAATCCCCTGAACCCTTGCTCCTCCCGCCTGGGCGGGTTCGCGGGTGCCGACCCCCACTCTGTGCTATGTCTCAGTGCGTTCCCTTGTCGTTGCAAGCGATGCCAGGGATGCGGTGCTCCAAGGCTCGGTAACAAGCACTTTCGGGAAACCCAACTTAGGACAACAGTAGTCAAAACACGGGTTGTTCTCTGGGCTTGATCTGTCACTACTGTTGCTGCACAGCGGGTTTGTGGAGTGTGTTGCTTGTGTGCGGCACGGGCCCCCTGAGGAGAAGCAAGGGGCACAGGCAAAGACGATAGGGGAACACTCATACATTTTGGGGGAGGTCCCTGTGCCAGTGGTGGTGTTGCTGTGGACGGAAGCTGGTGCCTTTCGGGTCGGGAAACCTCTTGGTGGAAAAAGTCAGCCTCCGTCTGTTCCCCTATGCCGCTGTCCTGTGGGCAGTCCTTGGTCCCCGTGTGCTCGTCGGCTGGGGATGCTGTCTCTTCGAACACGTCCACTTGCGGATGCAGTCCCCGCAGCTGTGTCTCGTCGGCATCTGGAGGAACAAGCTGAGCTGTCCATGGTGTGGAGGTCGGTGTCGGTCCACCGGCGGCTGGTAGTAAGTGTCGTTGTCGTGCTTTTCCCGGGAGTTCTGTGTCTTCGTGGTAGGCGTGGCTCGCGTCGGTCTCCTGAACGTCTGTTTGGGAGTAGACGTAGTTGCTGCACTCTGTCGCGATCCTCACGTGTTGCTTTGGCTGGGGGTGGTGCTCTTCGAAGGCGCTCGTCTCTGCTGTGACGGTTCGCGGGATGGCTCTAGCTGCCCCTGCTTCAAGGGGAGTGAGTCCCCGTATCACCCCTGTCCTGCTGGTGGGTGGGACTGTGGTGCTTTGCTGTTGGCTTTCCTGGCTGTCGCACGCTCCTTCTGTCGCATCTGGGGGCTGGGTTGGTGGAGCTATGGCCACTTGCTCCTCCTGGGCGATGCTGTTGTCCTCAGTGGTGGCGGGCTTTGGTTGGGTTTGGTGCTTCCGTCCATGGTGCTTGTTCTTCTTTTTGCCCCGTGCTTGGGAGCGAGGCGGCGGGGTCCATGCCATGAGCTCGTTGAAGCCGGCGTCCACGTCGAAGCCTCTTCTTGGGTTGGCGAGTCCCCTGTTGCTGCCTCGAGTGTGGCAGGTCGTCGTTGGTGAGCTGGCTTTTGCGCCAGTCGTGGAGCTGCTGCTAGAGCTGCTGCTGCTTGTCCCCTGTTTCCTCTCCACCATATTAGTCTGGCTCGCGGCTGGTGGTTCGTGGCTGGTAGTAGGTCTCGTTCGCGGGCTCCGGGTTGATCGTGTAGTCGGCGGCGAGGAGACACAGTGGGGATCTTGGCGGTTGTGTCCCCCATGGTGTTTCGGGCCGACTTGGCAGCGTAAGCAAGCTGCTGCCTGGCCCCGTTGCCGCTCTTCCATTTGACGTAGGTGCCCTCGTCCAGGTAGCGGAGTTGTAGAGGTCGGCGCTGTGGAAAAAGGTAGCGTCCCCGGCGAGCCCAACGGCTTCAAAAGGCCGTCCCCTGCTCTATGGGCGGTTGAGGTTCGAGCCAGACCCCGGACTCTAACGGTGCAGGGTGAGGCAGGGGCATGCTGTGTCCCCGTCTGAGCCCCCGTCTGGTGCATTAACGCAGAAACTTTTTCTTCAAGGAACAGTACTCTAGACAGGAGTTGCTTATTTACAGCGGCCGTCCCGGCCATTTGCACCTCGAAACTGTCCCGCTTCTCCGTGAGCTCCTGGATGCATCTTCGAGCCTGGTGCACTTGGTCGTTGAGGTCAAGTTCCACCTGCTCGATGTTCTGGTTACTCACGCTCTGCTGTACCAAAACAGGCTTCTTTGATCGTAGTCGTAGTTAGTTCGTGGAGCCGTTTTGATGAATTTCAACATCTGCAGTGCCAACCTTGACAGTGACCCTGCGAGGTGACATGACATATGTTTCATGGCATCATGTCCATGACTGGTGCATAGTGATGGAAAGGCATAGCAACGTAGGTCTTCGGGGGGCTCGTGTGTGTGTGTATGGGCGTTCGTGTGCGTGCGTGCGTGCGTGTGCGTGCATACACGTATCTACACATGTAGGCATGTATGTATGTATGTATGTACAGATGTGACGCATGTACACACACACACACACATACGCCTGCCTGCCTGCCTGCCTGCCTGCCGGCCTGCTTGCCTGCCTGCTTGCCTGCGTGTCGGTTTGGCTCCGTCTCCATGTCACTATGGCAGTACATCTGCATGTATGCCTGTATGCTGCATGCACTCATAGATAGGCAGATAAATAGGTAGATCGATCGATAGAAATCGATATGCAGTAAGAAGCTAGTATACACTTACTATCTTACAGATAGACAACAAGGAGACAGAGCAAGTATTTGGAGATGGGCGACTAAGCTTACGCTCTTAAGCCCAACATGATATTTGGCTAGAGGTGGATTGATGATAATCACCATTGGTTACATCATACGCACTATTGTATGTTGCTGTGAGTAAACACTGCATACGTGATTCTCTGACAGTCTATGTTTGTTCTGACTCTGAATGTACTTACAATCACAGTTATCCGTCAAGATGGTCCTATCGCTTCCGTCACGGCCAGCACACAATACCCTACTCCATGCTATGAAAAACTGCAACATGCATGATAGTGAAGCGTAACGCCAATCATTCAACAGTACGAGGAACGGCTCAATAAGTGCAATGGTCTTAGCGGGATCAACCGGAAGGGTCCAAGCGGCCTTTTGTGCAGCCATTACCATGGAACGAACAAATTCACTTAGCAGCAAGCGGACCACCCTGGTGTAGTGTAATGTAGTATGCCGAACAAACATGAAAATACTCAGCATTACGAGCATAAGCTAGTCGTTGCTGTTGCAGTAGCAGTATAGTTGTCATAGTGGCAATAGTCACACTTGAACGCATAACACGATCATGAGAGCGGCAAGCACGGATGAGAAGCTCAAATAATGAGAAGCCACAGGGCCGTGTGCACAGAAGCTCAAAGCTGCTAAGAAGCCAAGAAGGTTTAAGCGATGATGCAAAGCCAACGGAAACACAGACTATCCTTGGCCTGGCAAGACCAACGCAAGCGTGCGGATTATCGCCGATGTCGAAGGCAATTTAGTTTTGCTGCCTCAAAGTCCTCGAGGATAGCGAGTGCTGCACATGTGCAGGTGATTGCAGTCACCTTCCAGGCAGCTACGATCATTTCGGCCTGTGGTAGAGGTATGGCGGAGGAATTCTGGAAGAAGGCTAGAAGGTCGCTTCACACTGCGCCTCAAATCCATCACCACCCAGAAAGTGTACGTGGGACCAGTCTCCGGACTCGGCTTCTGCGACAACGTAGCTCTCCATGAAGCCCAGAGCACGAGCCTGCAGCACGCAAGCTCCAGCTACAGGACTCAGGAGCTTCGAAAGCAGTGTCAAGTGAGAAGTGACCGGGACTATCTGTCAATCCTTCCTTGACTCATTTCTTCATCGGGACAGGTAGCATAATGTATAAGCCTTGGTCATCATCTTGGCTCAGGTCATGTTAAGTTCCTGCGAGGCCTGTTCCCTGTTGTCATCTCGGAGCAGCGTGCCTCCTGTGGCGGGCCCAGCCCAGGGTGAGGTGCCAAAGACTTGTTGCGCATTTCCTGTCAACTGTGACGCTTCGTCGCGCAGCTCTCTCACTGAATCCTGCCAACTGACACATGTCGCCCCTCTTGCAAAGCTGCCTCCATTGTCCGGGACTGCTTCATAGTATCCTTGCAGGTCAATTAAGCTCGACAGTCTTAGATCTTGATTACCGCACCACCCGCACTTCAGATCTGCAAACCCTACTCATTCATTTGTCTGGAGGTCCTTGATGTCAGCCGGAACAGGATTCGCCCAAACCTGCGCATGGGTGCCAAGAGCCCTTCAGTCGGTGTCCCCAGCGATGCGGTCTGAGCGGCCGCGTAGTCGGCATCCTGCAGACGGCGGCCAAGATTTGAAGCCGGATTGCACACAAGCAGCAACTTGTCCTGTCCTTCTTGTCCAAGGCCAAGTCCCTCACCACCACCAACAGGTCGTGGCCGTAACACGGCGCATCCTTGCTCTAGACAGTCCCGCTGGTGTTTAACACTTCAACACTTATCGCATGGTAAGTCTTGTGTGCACCATTCAGATCGAGACGCAAACTCACCCATCTGTCCTGCCACTCATCAAAGAGGCCACAGCTTCGTCGCAGCACCCTTGAAGTCGTGTGAGATCCGTATGCTGGCCTCTGGGATCGGTTGACTCGTGCAGCACGGGCAGTTGGCCATTAAAACTGGGGCAGAGGATACGGCTAACAGAACGACAACGAAGACCGATACTTTTCCGGTTCAGACGCGACAGCGACGGTGGACGACGACCTACTCCTGCTCCGGCTCCTCCCTCCTCCGACTAACCCTCTTGCTGCTATCTGCTGCTCACATCTGCTCACTGCTGCTTGTTGCAACAAGCACAAAACAGCCTCAGCAAGTCCCGAAAGCTCAGTCCAAAGGCATTACCCAGGTCGAAGGGAAGAGCGGATCAGCCTCCGCTGCACGGCAGTCATTGTCCTGGCGACTGCGAGCACCACTTTGCTTCTGCCGGCTCAAAAGCTCGAGGTCCTCCGATCGCACCGCTTTTTGCCGCTCACCGCCGAGGCTAAAGGGGTTGTGGTAAACCTGGGAGGCTAGGAAAGGGTTCAATGCCTTTGAAGTGACGGCTAAAGCCAGGCAAAGCTGCACATTTTGCTTCCGAACACGCCGGCTGTCGAAACGCGGCTTGGAAGCCACGGAGCGTTTACAGGACACACACGACCGGCCATCCCTATACAAACTCTGCACTGTCAGAAGCAGCTATGGCTCTTCAGGCAGTCCATGCATTTGTCTAGAAGAGGCCCTCGGAGCATCCGGGGATCGAGTCTGCATCCAGACTGGAAAATCGCGAAAGTCATCCAGTATCATGCCACGCGAAGCCGGCGGGGGTTTGAGCGTTGTCTGTCTACGTCTTCTTCTTCCCCAGGGCATAGGGGGTGTGTCAGACCCCCCGGCCTATTGGCCCCTCATATGTTATGGGGCTTTCGGGGGTGTGAGAATGTTGTTCTCTCTCTGTCTCTGGCTCCGTCTCTGGCTCTGTCTCTGTGTCTGCATCTCTATCTGTGTCGGCGTGTCTGTGTGTCTGTGTCTGTGTCTGTGTGTCCATCTATCTCTGTGTCTGTCTATGTGTCTGTCTATGTGTCTGTCTGTGTGTCTGTCCGTGCGCCTGTCTATGTGCCTGTCTATGTGCCTGTCTTTTCATCTGCCTGCGTAACAGCATACCTCGTGCTCAAAGTGCGCTCACTTCCTCCGGATGGAACTGGTGCTCCCCCTACCCTGCCGAACGCGTGTCTCGCTCTCTCGCTGGAAGTTTGGATCTGCACAGGCCTGAATGCTGCATGTCTGGTCCCAAACGTAGGAATCACACAAGGAAGTCTGGAACATTCGACTTGCTCTTGGATGTTATTGGCGAGGAAGGCCGCACACAGATTTTCATGTCAGACCAACAAGCACATCTTGGCGCGAACGCGCTACATGCCGTGCTTTCGAACTGAGTTTTCAAAACCTCGACATCAAGCGCCGAAGTTGGTTGGACTTGTAGTGCATGTTGGAGTCAATATCGTGTCTGGCGGCACAGGTTTTCTGAGGAATGTATACTGTATACTCGTACTCAAGTGTGTGCGTGTGTGTGTGTGTGTGGGTGTGCGTGTGCGTGTGCGTGTGCGTGTGCGTGTGCGTGTGCGTGTGCGTGTGCGTGTGCGTGTGCGTGTGCGTGTGTGTGTGTGTGTGTGTGTGTGTGTGTGTGTGTGTTTGTGTGTG